CTGGCTAGGTCATGTTGTCCGAATGGACGAAAACACTCCAGCTCTGAAAGTATTCGACGCTGTACCCGCCGGAGGAAGCAGAGGAAGAGGAAGACCTCCACTCCGTTGGAAGGACCAGGTTGAGAAGGACCTGGCTGTGCTTGGAATATTCAATTGGCGCCACGTAGCGAAAAGAAGAAACGACTGGCGCGCGGTTGTTAACTCGGCTATAATCGCGTAAGCGGTGACTACGCCAATCAAGAGGAAGAAGAATATTAGATGAGGTAATGTTACCACATGCCTGAGAGAATATAACATTTATGTGGTATACCAGCACGATAATGATCCGAAACACATCATCAAGTGCGCAAAGAAGTGATAGTGGAGTCAACGGAGTTTGGGTTAAGCCTCAATCTATGCAGTTTCCTTACCTCAATTCCATAAAAACCCTCACGACCGATATGAAAAAGCGTGTTTCTAACGAAAAGCAACTAATTTGAGAAATTTGTGCCAGGTAGTGAAGAAGTTTTGGGAATTATGTAAAAAAAAATCAATGTATCATGGCAGAAACTGTGTTTTGGAAGAAAAAAAAATTTCGAAATGATTCTGACTTGAATGTTGAACAGATGCTTATGATTTGAAATATAATTTTTATATAGAAATTGTTTTGATTTTTAACATAAGCCTTTGTCTGACCCTTGGCTCTAAGCTATCTCCCCACCAATTTTCAGTCAAATCGGCGGTAATTCTGCTTTGGTTCGGACGTAAATAGCCTAATAAATTGCTTTCATTGTTGTAAATCCATTTATATGTATATGCATATTGACGTTGTTATTTCCGTTTTTAGTCTGCATACTATTTGGATTATGGAATGTCGTCGGCATTCTACTGCTCAACGTTTCCTGCCTCATCTCGGGCATCATACAAATGGTGGTCGGATTTGTAGTGATGGCACTGGAAGCGCCTTGTTGCTTTTTCTGTATAGAATATGTAAGCGATATTTCAAATAAAGTAGATGCACGTCCATTATGGAATCGTGCCGCCTTCTATTGCGCGTAAGTATGTGCTTTCTAAATATACTTAAGTAAATATGTATTTTATCCAATTATTTTGTTTGAGTTCTTCTCTTATGATATTTTATTTTCGACAGAATTGCTATACCTCCCATCATTTTGTGTCCAGGACTGGGTAGTATTTTTGCATGTGGTCTTGTATTCGGAACAGGCGTGATATATGGCCTCATGGGATTGGGCAAAAAGTAAGTAATAAAATTTTTCATATCATAATTATGTTTTCTTTAATGATGCTAAGAAAAAAAGAAAAAGGATACAGCTATGTGTAGAAAATTCAAGTTTGAAGTTGTAACAATGTTTTTGGTTTGGTATATGTCATTATTTGAATTTGTATCGCGCCATGTATTGTAAAAGTTTAATGTTGTTTATTTAACTACAAGCTGATCCGGCGTACTTTCTGATCTAAATTTGGATATGAAAAATCTCTTTGATTTATATGTGGTGTACTAACTGGATTTTATTTCATTATGCAGTTTTCTGTGTAACTTAACATTTTTCTACTGCGTTTTTAACACTTTTAACTAATTTTTGATTTGGAAAGAAAACAAGAGTTAACGGTCTCTTTTAAAAACATCTGTCGACTCATCTAACATTTATATTCAAAGTTATTATAACTTCAAACTTGAAAGGAGAAAATATTGACACAATAAAAATGTATTGCAAATATATGTTTAGGGGCTAGTAACCAAAAAAGGTTAAAGAGTAAACTGAAATGTGACGTACTGCTTAAGCACCACGCCATTAGGTTCAACACTTTTAAAAAATTTTCAAGCGCTAATCCACTAATTACATGTATGTTTCTCTTTGTTCTCTATTCCTCTATTTCTATTTCCTTCTAAATGTCCTTGTTTTATTTTTGTCGCAAACAATTCCGTGACTCGTCCTTATATATGCCTTATTTGAAAATATTGCTCAACTAAATTTTTTGTATGTTATGCAACAACGAATGCGCTCTATTAGAGCATCGCGCGAGGATATGGCTGCAGCCGCAACATCACCCACACAAATGCCACCAGACGGTGGCCAAATGCAAATGGGCACCGACCAACATATCACACTAATGGAGGATCCAGATGTCTGGCGTCCCACATAAACAATTCGTTCCAACAAAACTTAGAAATGCTCATTCGTGCACGCTGCAAATCAGTCTTCAAAATATTTCATTTAGTTTGCCAATAATTCTGACGTTTCCTTTGAAACTCACAACTATTGAGACATGGAGTCTAAAAATTCAAATAGTCACTTGCCCCACCAGATGAACAATTTACTTAAACTAAAAGATAGTGTAGTAAGGCGAAATGAAACAAGTGTACAACAGCATAAACTGAAATTTTGCAGCAGGAAATGTGTTTTTTTTTTTGTTGTCGTTTGGTTCTCTGAAAGTTAAGCTATACAAACAGAAGCATAAGAATATAATATACATATGTATGTGTATCAGTTTAAATATGTACATTCGTAGTTAATACAAAACCATTATTACCTTAAATACGATACTCAGTTGACAACAACATTCCATTTATAAATAGTAGTTGTTATATAAACATATTTACAAATGTTGAGGAAGATCAATTTGAATAAAATTGTTGTTGTTATATGCTATATCTGCGCCTACTAAATGATCTCCGAAAGCAGCAATAAACGAGTACATGTGTAATAATGCTGTACATACATATACATAGCACACAATATGAAAGAAAATAAAAGCAAAAATAATACATATGTAAACAAAAGATAAGAGAAATATTAATATTATAGTGCTAAGAATTTGCGTCGTTACTTGGAAGAGCGTTTTAAGGTTTTGGTGTGTTGTTCATAAACTTATCAATAAAAGCAAGTATTAAAGTATTGTAAATTATAAATAAATTAAAAGTGAAAAATACAGTTAATGTGTGTTGGAAAATATAATTTTAATTCATATGCGACTATATTATATGTACATGTGACCTGGTCTACGAAAAGGGAGCTAACGTGCGAAAACTAGTTTTCATCTTCCATCCGAATCAACTAAAAAGTGAAAATTGATTTTTTGACACCTAAGCCCCCTTTCCGTAGACCAGGTCACATATGTACATGTATTGGCATGAGTTTAAACACAAATTAAGGCAACTAACTCTAATAACATGTTCAACGGTATTTTTGTGAAGAATTTTTGGATATACCACAATATTTCATCTTAATCATTTATTTACAAATGAGTTGTTAAATTGATTCTCTGTTTATTTTTCTTCGGAAATTTGTCACTGTATTTGCACTATTTGCATATAGTATATTTTAGATGACATAACTGAGCTATAGCTTAACTTTTCAGATAAGCTTTTCCTTCAAAATTAAGCACTTACAAGCCTATAAAAGCTATTTACTGAGTTACGTTAGTTTTTCGAAGTTTCAAATAAAATTTATATCTTCGTTTGATCTTTTCAAATACTCTTTAATCAAATATCTAGTTGTGTTTACTGAAATGTTCATAAAGTAAATTTCTTAATATAGCAATTATTAATAATATTCAACAAAACAGTTAGTGTGTAGGTTTTAATTTAGGTGTATTAAAATTTGCTTTGACATAAATATTCAAAGACTCAAGCCTATGAGCATGCAGAATATGAAAGTGCTCATTGAAAACAAATAAAAAGTATTAAGATTTGCTTTAGTCCTCGGAAGGCAGCACGCAGCAACGTAAAAAACACTTGGTAGTCAAACAAAAGCTGGCGGTACACAGTTGCGAATACAGTACAGAGATGTTGAATATACTGCCAAATATACACCACACAAAAACACTTAAATACAGAAACTTTACAAATCATCAATTGAAGATGTCAGCGATATCCATGTAACGGTCAACATTTTGTCAGACTAAAAGGCAATTATCGCAATTTTGTTTTTAAAAACTCTAGTTTTTATTGTAGTTTCACACAACAATATTTTATTATACGGCACTCTATATATAAATGTTACCAAATTTCTTTATTATCTTTGCTTTATAGTTCCATGGGAGTAGTTATATATATATATATGGCTTTACATTTTTTTTTTTAATTTAACTATCAGTGCCATCAAGTAAATCAAATCTTTTTTGCACGCTCTTAATTTCGTTAATAATCTCTTGCAATATGTGTACTTAGTAAAAATAGAGATTACAGAAATTTATTTTCCCTCTTTTCTTAGTGTTATCTACAGAAACATACTTTAGTTCCATACCATGAACGAATGAAGTGGAAAACATTGTTGAAACTTGTTATGAAAGTTTGACAATTAATTTTGTTTATTTAGTGTATTACTATTTTATATTTATCAATATTTGTACTTTGAAAATAGTTTAAAAAAATAGAAATGCATAAGTTTAATTAGTGATCTAGATATTAACTGTTGTTTTTTGTTATTTTATAATCATTTGCAAAATATAAGCATTGCCAAATTAGGAAAACTATTAGGTTGAAGATAAACTTAGATAATACTAACAAATAATTCGAATATAAATATAGACTTGTGCTTACACATTTCCAAGTTATAAACTTAAAATAACACCGTTTTTTACTTCTAAAACCAATAAATGCATTTATCCCTTAGCCCACCTTTCATTTTTTCCTTCTTCACAGTGAATACTTATTTTCTAAATCTACAAAACTCAAAAGTATTGTAAGCATTGAAACAGCTGAAGAAAATAAGTAGAAAATGAAGGGCACAGAGACCAAAATCCGATTTTCCCGCTAATTATTTTTGGCTTTACATTTTTAATATTCTCTTATAGTTCAGAGCTTTTCATTTTCTATTCTATATACGTATTTAATTGTAAACGTAATCTGTGTTTAGCGAAATATTGAAAATTCTTTTATAAAATCTTTTCTCTGTTTTAGTTAAAATATTATTTTATACATATCAAATTTTCGTGCGATTTTTAATATCATTTTTTTCTCACTAAATTAGGGCTTCCGCCGATGAAATGCGTCAAGCAGCTGTGAATTCCGGCTTCGCGGGCACACCCACGGGCGTCGCAACGAACGATCGCGCCAGCATTGTGAATAATGCACAACCGTTCTCCTTTACAGGCGCCGTGGGCACAGACAGCAATGTGTGATAGCGTAGATATGACTGCAAAATCAAGCAAACCATTGGAAGCGTTGCACAGAGAAGAAGTTGACAAATGCCATTCAGAAAGAAAAACAGAACAACCGACAAAACCAGGCTGTCCTGCCGATCAGCTGCGTTCACTGCATACTATATATGTGCATACGTGTGTATTAGTTATATAGTGCAAGTGCCTCTTTTAAGTTAAATGTCTTCAAAATGTAAACGGTTGAAGTGCGAACTTGCAGTTGTAGTGCAATTCGTAGTGACATCCCTGGCGCAGAAATAGAAAGATCTCTGTCAACTCCGTTAGACAACGCCTTCACTGGTTTTAATATTTATTTACTTATAGCTTGCTAAAATGTTTCATCATATACATATTAACTTTTCGGATGGTTAAAGTAATGAGAATGGTTAAACTTGATTCGTTGCTACTTTCCTAAATATAAATGCATACTTAATTTCTATTTGTACATATAATTTTTTGTTTAAAGTTGATAATCTGTTAATTTGTCCAATAATGACACAATCTCTTATCCAATTGTTCTCGTTACGAAATTTTTGCATTCCATTTGTGCAAGTGAAATTTTCCTTAAGTTAAATAGATATGAAGTCTGGAAAAAAAATTTAATTTTATAACTAAACTTCGTAAAATGTCTTTTAAATTACAATATTAATTAACAAAAAAATTGGCTTAAGTTACTAAAAAATTATTGAATATTTCATGTGTCTTTGTAGTAAATTTTATCATCGTACTTCTCACGTTTCATGCTATCTTAATAATATTTTACGCGCAACAATCTAGATAAATATTTTAGAAATTTGTGCGTTTGGTTCAGAAACAACTATACAAATAAGTAAATGTTGAGCAAACTAAATAAATACCAACCATAGGCAAACTAAAAACAAAAGCAAAAAGAGTTAGCGCATCTATGAATTGTATTACTTTAATATTAGTCATATATAGTTAAATAAATGTAATATTTTATTAAACAAGCAAAAAAAAAACATAAAAACAAATATAAAATAAAAGTAAAAAACGGAAATAAAACAAATATCCGTATTCATACATATAATAATCATTATTAAATATACATATATAAATATGAATTGAGACATATTAAAGGTATAAATACTATAAAACTAAAATATCTAAAACAAACCTGAAATTAAAAATTAATAAAATTTAAATTAAAAAACAAATGCCAATACTAATGCTTTGTTAATTTGTAAAATGGTGAAAGCTTTAAATGAAAACATTTGCATATTGAACTCATCATTACACTTTTGCTAAAAACCGTAAAACCAATTCCCAACACGGAAACTAACTTCAGAACATTGTCCAATGAGTTCTTTGCACAGTTCGTCTGCGTCTGACCTTTCGGAAGTTCGAAGAGCTACTTATGATACAAAATTTATGGAATCGATATTGTTGTTGTAACAGCGAGGCCTTTGTTGGGAGAAAGCTCCAAATTGAGTGTCTTCGAAGACACAACAGCAGGTCCAGGAGCTCGTTTCCTGAACTTAGGTTCTCTGGAATATGCCTATCCTCTTGATGATGTTGTTGTAAGGGATTGATCAGGCTGGGGATCAATTTTCACGACAGCCGGTTCTACGCACCGGAATTGACACGGATTTTACCCGACCAAGGACTGTTTTTTCGGTGATCTAACACCGTTTGGATCGGGGAGTACTAATTTGTGTTTGTCGTCACTAGAGCAATGATTTGCAGCAGGGTTGCTCCGCATCCTTCTGACTCGTGCTGGCATTGAGTCCAACCCGGGGCCGGGGGAGTTTTTCTGCTGCGTATGCGCAAAAAGGCTCCATCCAAACTCCACCTCGGTCAGGTGCAATACATGCAATGGATGGAGCCATATTAAGACCTGCTCAGGCCTTAAGACCCATAGGGAGTGGACCACGCGTTACGTGGCCCCTTGTTGCCTGCGCAATACTGCGACACAAGCATCTGCGGTTGTGCAATCTGCACATAGTTCGCGCGTCGCGTCGCCACTCAACCAGACTGGCCAACAGATGACCTCCACGGTCAGGAGCTCACTCAGGCAACATAGCTCCCCGAGATAATGGTGGCGGCCTAGTCTTCATATTCCACAACTCCGTGCAGTATCGTCTAATCGATGTAGACATCGACCGCAGGGATAGTACCCTAGAATGTCAGGGTATAGCTATCCGGTCAGGCGAGGTCGAGCTCGAAATATTTAATATATACATCCCCCAGTCGCTACCATCGCGGGTGGTGGTTTGATAAATAGCATAACCTGGCGACCTTTGCTAACTCTCGCATCAGAACATTTGCCCATAATTATCTCGATCGAGAAGCCTCCTGATTTCGTTTCTGTGGACAACCGCACTTTCGTTAACTTTAACAAAGCTAACTGGGTCGGCTTCACAGAATTTACTGAGAGCACCTTCAACGCTCTACCCATTCCTACGGACGTATGCGTTGGCGAACGTCAATTCCGACAGGTGATCGCAGCAGCTACCGCTCGCTTCATCCTGGCTGAGAGAATAGCGGAAATCCGCCTCAATTTCCCAGCCGAAGCAGCCGTTTTAGCTAATGAGCGCGCCACCATGCCGATCCCGGGGATCCCCGAATAAGGGATCTCAATGTGGATATTCGGCGTATGGTAAACCATCATAAGCGGGCGAAATGGATAGAGCACCTGAAGTCCTGCAACCTCTCCAAGGCTGTGAGTAAGTCAATTCAATGGTCATGCCTCTTCGGACCCGAAGAAGTGCGCGAGCTATTTTAGCCGGCAGTTTACACTGCACACTTCGGTAGACAAAGCCAAGCGATGTGTTAACCGACGGCTGCGCAAAATGCCAAACGATGGCGCGCCATTTACTTTCACCGATGAGGAGGTTCAGGGTGTCATCAACAAAGCAAAATCTTCCAAATCCATTGGCCCTGATGGAATCAACATGCTAATGCTAAAGCATCTAGGCTCGGCGGGAGTAAGTTATCTCACCAAGGTCCTCAACCTGTCACTGACCACTCTTCAAATACCCGATGTGTGGAAAATCGGAAGAGTGATCCCACTACTGAAACCTGGGAAACCCGCCAATAAAGGGGAATCTTATCGCCCGATAACTCTCCTCTCATCAGTAGTGAGGACACTTGAGGCCTTGCTACTCCCGACTTAGGCTCACCACCTGAGCCTAGCCAGCCACGAGCATGGCTCCCGTAAAGTGCACAGCAACACCACAACACTTAGCGTCATAAACGCTCATATAGCCCGTGGCCTCAACCAGAGAGGAGTGAGAGAACGGTCCTCGTAGCGTTGGACTTGTCGAAAGTTTTCGACACAGTCAACCACGCAACGCTACTGTAGGACATTGAAACAACTTCGCTTCCTCCAGGGCTTAAGAGGTGGACCATGAACTATCTGAACGGTCGTCAGTCATCCGCACTATTTCGAGGTGAAACATCTAAACTGAGAAGAATTAAACAGGGTGTTCCGCAGGGTGGTGTCCTCTCCCCGCTACTATTTAAATTGTATATCCCAAAACTCCCACAACCACCAGAGGGGGTTTCCATAACCTAGTACGCAGATGGCATGTGTTCGAAGGTAAACAACTACCTCTCCGACCTTTCTCGTTTCCTCACTGCACGGAACCTCCAACTTTCCCCTACCAAATCCACAGCGACCATATTCACGAACTGGACGAATGAGTAGAGACGGGAACTTAATATTGCACGACTGTCACTAGCCGGCAGCACATGCGGAAAAGACAAAGAAACGTTGTTGGCAACTTATAAGGCAATCGGCCGGTCGGTCCTTAACTACGCAGCACCAATATGGTCGCCTGGATGCAATGGAACGCAGAGGAGGAAACTTCAGACCTGCCAGAATACTGCACTCCGGACAACAACGTCGTGCCTTTCGATGTCTCCCATAGATCACCTCCACAGTAAGACGTTTATGCTTCCTGTAAAGGCACAGCCATCCGATTGGAGCGGAGCCGCCTCCTAGGAGCATCAAAAGGTCCTTCCTTGACTACGTCGACGACGTCATACAATACGCAACGCAAATGACCCTTACCATCCTAACGGGGATTAGATAACCGTCAAAACAACAACAACTCGGGATTATTCTGCCTAATTGAGCTTCTTGAGACTGTCGAATCCTTAGTTGGCCACTCGGTTTCGTGGGCTGAATTGCAAAAACTTTCGGGTGTTTACGTTACCGATTTGTACAAGAAATATTGGTAATATATCTACATATTAATGACATGGGGTGTGGTTAACCCTTTCATGCCATTTGTTGCCTAAAATGTTTGTTATTTTTGATGTCCGTTTTCTTTTTATTGTAATACATGTGTTAAAGCAATCGTTTGCGAAGTTATATTTTAAAGCAGAGTTTCGTGCCTAAAAAAATTTAAATATTAGTTGTGTTAAAAGTTAAATAAAAAAGTAAATAAATAATAATTATTTTATAAAATGTGAATTTCATGATAAACAAAAGGTAATAAAATGAAGAAAAATTTTTAAAACATAAAAATTATTTTTAATTTTGTGTCAGCAATATCAGTTTTGCTTATAAGCAACAAATGTCCATGGTAGTAATATTTTTTTTTGTAATTAATTTAGAGAGTTTGAGGTGGAGAAACACGCGTCTACCCGATGGCGACACTGCTTGGAAAGAACAACTAGTTTGTCAAAGAGTTCACGAACCAATAAATTATTTCAATGACTACTTTGCTGATAAAATGATAAACAAGATTTGCAGTGAGGCAAATCTTTATTCCATGCAAACGAAATTTGAGATTATACGGTTCTTTGGTGTCCATTCTGTATTCTGTAATACAAGTTCCAAATATGCGGAGGACTTGGTCACAAATCAAAGAGGCTTTTCATATAAATAATAATAATCAACAGCTTGAACGTGGATGAAGTACTACGACCAACTTTATAAAATACGTATATTACTGAAAAAGTGACGGAGAAATTCTACAAAATAGATCAGGAAGAACATCAAAGCATTGAGAAACAAACGATTAAATATAAAGGGCGCAGCAGTCTAAACAATACCTTCCAATGAAGGCCCATAAATGGAGAGTCGTATACGACTTCCCTCTCTATAAATGAGAAGGAATTTTTCCCTTGGACTGGGAATTTCATCAGACATTCTAATGTACTTGGGTTCAATATTCCAAAGCTTCCATAAGTCTGCGCTTAAACAAAACAGCATTTTAGCGTCAGCACCTATTCCGAAGCGATAGAATAAAAAAAATTTGTCTCATCATTGAAAGAGAGGTCATGAAAAAAGGCCATGGTTCGTATAATTTCAAACATGAGACAACATAAAATTTAATTTATTGCCGCTGGATTGAAAACAAGAGCATCCACTCATTTGGAACTATATAGGCGAAATTCCGGTTTCTCAGTGCAAACGCAGTTGTCGAAAAGAAAAGAAGTACTCAAACATGGCTTGACCGGCTATTTTTGTCATAACAAGCACATGGGAGGCGTAGACCTGGCTGAAATGTTGTCAGAGCTATTTAAAATCAACCACCATCTACGTCATCATCAGAGCGATCGTACATTTCTGAACCGCTAAAATCCATGCGTCTCGATCGAAACCATCATTGGGTGGAGTGGGGAGGAAAAGGAAGGTGCAGACATTGTCAAACTGCCATTCCGAAGTCCAAATGCTCAAAATATAAGGTACACTTATGCTGAAACTCCCAAAAAAACTGTTTTGTTTCATATCACATATGAAATATATTGAAAATTAATAAAGATAAGAAAATCAGTATTCACCTATGTTTATAAGCAATATTTCATAAAGCTGAAACCAGCAGAGATAGAAGATTGAAATTGTTGTGTCCTTAAAATATTTTTAACCAAGCCTACTTTTGTTCTGACGTGAAAGGGTTAAGAAAGTACGAA